GAAAAGATCCAGTTTGACAGTCATGTTGTTGCTGTGACAGTGATTTTCGTTGCACACCCGGTGAGAACAACTGGACTAAAGGCCGTCAAAGGCCATGATCTACATAAAATGTTAGGGATGTCCAGTTGGAAATTAGTGCAGTTTGTGCAGCTGACAAGTATTTATATCATATTTTCCTAGCGCCCTGGTCTTTTTGTTCTGTTGGTGCCGTCCAGGTTGGGGCGGCAATCGCCTGCAAAAGCGAGCCAAGGCCCCGGGGCCAGGAAGGTGGTCATTCTCGGAGGGACCAAACGCAATCCGAAGGAGAATCCGAACTTCTCATGAAGACTTGAGTGACGTCCTTTGAATCCTAAGAAGGCATTTTTGAAAATTGATGTTGACTGACTTTCACCATTTTTCATTAGGTTTCCAGCCCAAGAGTTTGGCCATCCCGGGCCCCATCCCTCTTCCTTCTCCGTCCCGATGAGTGGACCGTCCGAAAAAACTGCAGTCTTGAGTCACTTGAGTCTTGAGCATTTTTGATGGTTGACGTTGACCTTGAAGATCGTAGAAAGATGTTATGCTTTTTAGTAGGAAAGGGATGGAAGGGAAGTATTTTGATGTAGTTGGGAGTCCAAAATAGGGTCACGCAGGTGCTAGTTAATGAGCCCGGTCGCTCTCCTGAAGCCATTCGGACCTATCGGACAACCGTTTGGATACTGGTTCTGCCCAGTTCACGGACAATCTTCAGGTGCAAGAAAACAGTTGTCTATGCGATGATATGCGTTGTCAGTGTGCACCTCCGCCGCTGTGGCGCCCAGGCGCTCCGCTGCCACTCCGGGGGCCGCCGGCTCCAGCGCGCCAAGCCTCTTGGCGAGTCATCTGGGCGTCCACGCACTGCTTGGCGTCGTATCAACGCACGGACTCCTTGGGGTTTATGTATCACGTTTGGTAGGTCTATCCTGCGCCATCACCCCCGAAACCCCAACTCGATGACCCATCTTGAGCACGGGGAACTATGGAGGCCTGCTGAAAGGGATATCCCCTCCTTGCAAATTCCAACTTTCTAGTTAGTGAGGTTGCCACTTGGCTCTGGGCTACAGCCCAACATGTTCAGCACCCAGCGTTTGGGAAACAGCAGGCAAAAACCTGTAGGTCACATCCACGTGTACAGCCAACCACATTTATAGGCCGGACCCCAAAAGCCTTCGAAGCATACCCTTTGTTGCGAGGTCCGTGCCCAGCGGCTGCCAAGCCCCCACGAGGTGGGGCAAAGAGACGCTTGAAATGGCATGCCCAGCAAAAAGAGTCGGATGTCAACAATAGATTTTGGGGGGCTTACGCCCAAGAGCGGGCCAGCAGGGGGCCCAGCGGCAGGCAGAGGCAAACAGGTGAGAGTGCTGGTTGTGGTGGTTGTTGTGGTTGGTGTTGTGGTTATGGTTGTAGTGTTTGTTGCTGTTTTGATTGTGGTTGTGGTTGTGGTGGTTGTGGTTGTGGTTGGTTGGTTGGTTGGCTGGCTGGCTGGTTGGTTGGTTGGTTGGCTGGTGGGTTATGTTGTTGTTGCTTTGACCAGAAACATAACCAGAAAATGCCAATAGTGCGATGCAACTCGGGCGGCAGAGCTCGCACCGTGGGGCAATCTTAGGCCATTTTGAAGAAGGGAGCTGCCCCCTGCCGGAAAGGGTCCCAGACGGTAGCTTCACAATCCACTGACAGACAGCCGAGAGCTCGCGACATTGTAAAGGCAAAAATTGGCATCGAAGTCCCCAACAATGAAATAAATAAAGCTACTAGTAACAAGTGCATCGCTTCTAGTAACAAGTGCCTTACTAGTAGCAACAAGAAGCTAAGGCTATTAGAACCAATAAATCCTATTAGAATTATTTTAAATTGCCCCAACGTGGGCGCTCGCCTAGATTCCTTAAGCCGATGCTGTGACGTGAAGCAAGTGTGAACGACCGTGAGAAGGCCGTCCGAGGACGGCCGTGAATTGATACTCTCCGGTTGGTTCATATCGCGTCTTGAACAAGTCTGCTTGTTTGGCGTGGCCAAACAAGCAGAGTAAACATCATGCGCTCAAAGTGGGATGTGTGCAACTTATAACATCTTATAACACCACATGGCCGTTGGGCCACAGGGCCAAACTTAGCATGGCCTTTAGGCTGGGGCTGCAAAGGTCCTAGAAGGCACCTTTGCCACACCCTTACCCTTAGCCCATATATAGTGTTGCACGTAATGGCCGGGAAGGGTCCCACACGGCAGCCGCGAAACCCAATGAAAGACATGTGGCAGCTGCCCACGCAAAGGTCCCAGGCGTTAGCCAGGCCAGGTTGGCGGAAACTCTATAACATGTAGATACATCATCGGATATCATTCTGACAATTTTTTCACTTTCACTGCTTAACAGTCACGCCTTGGGATTTTCTTGCAAGCGGTTACGCTTCGTGTGAGAGGAGTATCAAAGAAAGGGGTTCAAACAACACAGGATTTTTCCCGAAGAAGAGGCATGTTGTCGTGTTGCATTGTAGTTGAAGATCGTTCACTACCGAGTTCCGCCGATTTCTCCGACGAGAGGATCCGCCGACAATTTTGCCATCGTGGTTGTGAGGTGCTCTCGTTATGGCTGCATTGGCTGGAGAGGCTTTGGCGGAAGGGCACCAGGCGGGAACTTTCATGGCTGGATCCCAACGGCTACCTACCCCCATAGCCATAGCCATAGCGGTTCTGTGGAAGAACCGTTGATTCTCACGATGTTTCAAGCATCCAAACAGAAAGTCATTTGCGCAAATTCGATCCGCTTAAAAGGAACGCGGGCCAGCGCAGCGCAGTGGCCTTGAGGCTGGGAGATGTGGAATGTGGAAGGAATGTGCGATTGGACAACCAGGATTGATGGTGGAAGGAGACCCCAAGATTATGGAGGAAGGAGGTTTTGTATATTCGCTCGAACATGTTCGAACATTTCGTTGGAGGGGGCGTTTCTGAATTGTCCGCCAGGAGTATGACCGCACGGTGCATGAGCTGATGTCTCGGGTGCTTGGCCGTTCGGAGGATCTGGGTTCTCCAGGACGAAGCGTCCTGGAGCCCGTGACTCTGCATTGAGGGACGCATTGCGTTCCTCGCCCATCCAGTCGCCTGCGGTGGCTGCGGCCGCAAGGCCCAGGAACGATCAGAAACGAAGGGAATCGATCTCGGAGATTTGGCACAGGATGTTTGAGTCTGAATTAAGACTGGATGCCAACACGGTATGCAGCCTGACGCTTCTGAAAGTGAGGCAAAAGGAAATGGCAGAAAGCACACGGTGTTTATTGTTGTTTTGGTGTTTGCACTGAAACGCAGGTGTATTGCGATCAGCTGTTCTGTCCGACAGGCTTGAAGTAGGTGGAGGCAGCAATGTGTTGAATACAAACTCAAAGATGCAATGGTCCGACAATCTCAAACGTTATTTGCTCTATGACGACAACTTTGCTCTTGGTGTGGCCGAAGCCAATCCGTTCCCTCCTGGTTTGATGTCAACCATCAAATGCAGACACGCACATACACACAATAATTAGCCTCTCAGGAGATGAGGGCAGAGGTGAGGCTGCTAGTTGTGTAGGATTCTCAAAATACATGCCACATATTCGCGGGTGGATCATGGCCAATGTAGTTTGGGTGGATACCAAAGGCGACAGAGGTCTGTTGACGACACTTGTGATGGAGACCTCACTTTGCACAATGCAAACCAAACAAGTGCGTATGCAGGCAGCAAGCCAAGCATTTTCCGAGGCAAGCTCGCTACGCGCTTGCCGAATCTTTTTGGAAGCTGCCCCGATCAAAAACACCACCAGCCTCGCTTGTTGGCAATCAGTTTTGACTGGAACACAAGCATGCTTGCAGACTGCAGCTTGGGCCCGAGAAATACGGCCGCCAAAGTGGCCTATGATCGCAGAGCAGAGCAGAGCTTCGTTCGACTTTCACCGACCTGACGGTTTGTAGCTCACGGCAAACATCATAAGCTGGGACAGCGCCATGGCGGAAGTGTGTGAACAAACCCGGATTGAGGCGAAATGGGCAGACGAGGAGCTTGAAAATTGGGGAAGTGACAAGTTTTTGCTGAAAGTCAACTGAGTTGACTTGGGACCACTGTTGAATCTTGAAGAGCCAGCTCTTGGGAGCACAACAAATGCCGAATCAAGGGACCTGAGGGATGCATGAAGCAGAAGAGGGATGGTGTTTTTCCTGAGGATTAGGATTTTGACAAGATATTATATATATATTACAGATACAATACTGTACTATAAAAACATATAGTATATAGGAGCAGTATCTAATTTATGTTTCTTTTCGTTTTGTTTTTGGATCTTTTTATTGTTTTTCTGTGCTTGTCTTGCTTTTCCTTGCTTCTCCCTGCTTCTTTGCTTTTGTTTGCTTTTCCTGCTTTTCGGCGCTTGTGTTGCTTTTCCTTGCTTCTCACTGCTTCTGTGCTTTTCCTGCTTTCCTGTGCTTGTTTTAGGTTCTCGGCTCCCTCGCCGCCCGACCACTCATTTTTTCGAGGTTTGACACCCTTTTTTGGGGGGGGGGGGGGGGGGGGGGGGGGGGGGGGGGGGGGGACAATGACGAACAATGTTGATGTTTTGGTTGACATGTGCAACCAATGTTGAGGTTTTCGTTGACATGTACAACCGATGTTGATGTTTTGCTTGACCAGTATGAACGATGTTGATGTTTTGGTTGACTTTTTTGTGTTTGGGACTACCTTCGTGTGATTACACCAGTTACACCAGTCGTTCGGAGCTTTTGGGTTCAAGCATGCGCAGGTTGAGTTTGCGTGGTTTACTTTCGTTGTGTTAGGTTTTGCTAATTCCAGGAAACCTACGTTTCGTTTAGTTTCGTTTAGTTTAGGAATTAAATTTGTTTGTCGGGATTTGACTCTCTTTTTTCTTGGCCCGGTCCTTTGTTTGGTTTCTTTGTTTGTGACCCCCGCTACTTGGACGACTTGTTGGATCTAGGCACTACTGACGTTTGGGTCGCTTTGTCTTTGCGCATAGCACTAGATTCACATCGGTTTTTGGACCTAGCATTTAGAAGTTCAGACTTGTTGAAAGATTGTTGGGATCACATTTGGTTACGTTATCACAAGGGTTCGATTCCGGCAGCATTGAGGAAGCTGGCGGAACATTGTGCCATATGCACGGACGTTGCAAAAAAGCTACCAAAGCTCTTGTAAGCTAGACATGTCCAAGAAAAAATGGTAGCACAAGTTTGTCAATCACAAGAAGCAGCAGCTCACCAAAAAGGTGAAGGGTAAGAAGCGGTTGGCTGGCACGCAAATGTTGGATAGAATGTGGTCCTTCGCGAAGAAGTTCCGGCCTTCTTTTGCAAAGAAGCCGACCGCTGCAATCCACCTTTTATGCGTACGCATGGCAGTGGCACAGAAATGTGCGTGTCCTGAGCCTGGACAGGCCTAAAGAGGATGGCGGAAGTCCTGTGGCGACGTTGACACTTGCGCGGATGTCAGCTCCGAAAAAGTAGGAGTCGCGTAAACGCACAAAAGCCTTGATTCTCGCTGTGGGGAGACACACAAATCAAGACCGGACTACAATCAGAATAAGGGTCTTCAAAACACTGGGAGGTTAACAAATCTCATGTACAGGGTCAAAAAGCATGAGCCACCCTTGCACGGGCGGCAAGAGAGCCGTGAACTTTGTTTTTCTTTTCCTTGCTTCTTTGTGAATCCTCTTTCTTTCCTTGCTTTTGTTTCTTTTTGTGCCTTCTTTATTGCTTGGTTTGTTTTTCCTGCTGTTTCTCCTGGTTGGCTTTATTTTGTTCCTTCTTCTCGTCGTTTGTGGCGTAGTGAGTCTCTTTGATCTTTGGTTAGTTGATGCTGTCGCTTTTGAGGGGTAGGTATCAAAAACAAGTACAGTAATAAGCATCAAGAAACAATGATACGCATCAAAGAAATAACAATGCTAATACGTATAGAAATAAAAAATTGCCTCTCATCCAGTGGTTTGCTGGTTCCCTGGTCCCTTGGTCCAATGGTGCCCTGGTCTCTTGCTCCCCTGGTCCCTTGGTCCCCTGGTCCCCGGTCCCTTGGTTGGTCCCCTGTCCTTCTGATGCTACATAGGTCCTTTGGGCACGTGCGTCAAAAAAACTAATGTATTATCAAGTCATCTTGTTGCGTATATTTGTGAGCCCAAAACGGTTGTTTTTGCTGCTTTTTGTGCATTCTTTCTTGCTCGGCTGTTTTTTCCTGCTGTTTCTCAGAGCTTCCTTGCTTTCCTGCTTGTGTTTCTTTGTTTCTTTGACATAAGACTTAAATGTTAAGATCAGCGCTCCGTGCTTCCCAAAGTGCACTCCTGGTTCACATAACGCGGCTCACCGTGATTTACCCGTGCTAACCCATGATTCTTGAAAAACATCATTTTTGGAAGAACCCTATGTTTTCAAACCCGTGATTGACCTGTGCTAAACCCATGACTTACCCGTGCAAGCCCGTGAAGGAATTCACGGGCTTGAGGTCAGATGCCGAACTGACACCCGTATTCTCGATACTCAAACAAGACATTGCCGCATCAGTATGCACGTGCTCAAATCCAAAAAACGATGAAAACGCAACCCCCGGGTTTCCAGTGAAAACCCCAGGTATTTTGGAGAACCCTAGGTTTTCTTCGCGTATTGGCTGTACAGGCATATATATATATATTTATATCATCTGATATATATATATATACACACATTTTTTCAGAATTCCACCAGGCATCATGGAATCATGTACCGAATGCGTACGATGTTCGTTCGCAGGCTGTGTTGGCACAGCAGCGCAGCTTCATGGATACCTGGGGTGCACAGTGCCGCGCCCGGCGGAAATTGCGAACGGAAAAGGGCGGGATTGGCCACCGCAAAGCGAGAAAGGCACATGACATGCAGCAGGCTGCGTGGACGTTCTTCTTGACGAGAACCATTTTGGCTCTCACATGTTTGAGACGTGACATGATTATGTTGCCAAACATAGGCAGTACCGTACTTTCTTTTTCCGTGTTGCACATGGGAGCATATGTTTGAAAGTAGCATGAATCAGATTGTTTTCTTTATGCTGAAAAAACTAGGAAACTGCGAAGATATACTTTGCAATGATTGAGAAAAACACAGAAATCAAAAACAAGCAGCCCAAAAAAGGCGTAGATAGGATTAATTCGGATAATATATATATATATATGCACAATACATACACATGCACACAGTTAGCCGAGGCTGGAGCAAATGTTGCAGATGTGTGTCCTGCTGGTGCCCGTCCAGGCAGGATGGGATGCAATTGGTTACCATAGTCTATGTGTCAACGCAACAACTCGGCTTCTGCTTGGACTTGGAACACTTATTCATGGAAGTGTTGCCTGACATCGAATTTAATATCCCCATGCAACGTGCCAATTAGATGATGTATGAAAGACGCGTGAGTCTACTGTGCGCTTCGTGGTTTGCTACTCCTGTTTACTGACAAGATGGCGATCACCAGGAAGAGGATGATGACAAAGCGGGATTTTGGAGCCAGGCACGCCCAGCTAGAGGGGCCGCCCACACTGTTTGGAACAAACGCAAGTGGAACAAACATTAGTGGAACAAACATTGAGAGAAACCATGTTCGAGAAACCAAGTGCGATTATGTTCAGCAGAAAAGTGAAATGAAAAGCACGCCTCTCCGTGTTCTGTGCATGGCTGGTAGTTCTTTGATGTTAGTAATACTTTGCATCTTCAAACCTTTTGGCAATGAAAGATGCCCTAAACAGGTGGTCTACTCCGCCAGCGATCTTTTTAACTTGTGGGCCTCTTAGATGTGCGAAGAGCCGAGTGCCCGTCGAGCGTGCCGGTCGTCCGAAGGGCTGCACCGAAGCGTTGGAAAACGCACCGAACCCAGCGTTTCGTCCTATCGGTTCGTACCGAAACGTTCCGTATTTCTATAATATAGGGAACGCGATGTATATTTTTTCCAACACTTTGTATCCAAGAAAATCACCGGCGGATCGAACAATCAACAACATCTAGATTTTAGGGAGTGATCGGAGAGAACCGTCGACCCGACCCTTTTATTAGCTTTCTGTTTAATCTCAAAAAGGCTCCCCCAGGGGTGTGACGACTGCAGGTGTCCCCGTGTCCGATTCTACAAGAAAGGGTTGTAATGAGTTTGCACTTCAAGAAGAAGCCACTTCAGTTTGGCCGATGTAGTGATGCATGAAGGCTAGCAAATTGTGTAAGAACCCGTGTTTGACAAGACCAGGTGGCTAGCTTGCTTCGTGGGCAGTTCGGCATCATCGATAGGACGGAGCCGCTCTGGTTTCCTTAAGCGCTCGGTGTTCTGCCGCTGCATGGTGCTCACGCCGCGGTCCTTCGCACCGAGGTACCGCACAGTGGTCCTTCGCAGTCCCGAAGAGTCGCTTGGTCGATGCGGCAGACGCTCCCGACGGGGACGACCCGGGAGAAGTGGAGGACGATACTCAGGTGATCTCAAAAACGCGCCTCGCAGTGAGCCTTCTGGGCGGGGGCCAGCGCATATAGTTACGCTTTCCACAGAGACTACTCGGACTACTTTGCTCTCTTTTTTTGGCTCCCTAACTAAAGGCCCAAAACCATGAACGTTCCTGAAACTTGGGGTGGCAGGGCAGAGCGAGACATTTCTGTTCTCCGAAGAGCTACATCAACTGTCACTCTCAGAGAGGCACGTGGGCTCGGAACCCGTAGAATCTCGAATTCCCACGAAGGGCGTTTTCTCCGCGGGGTACTTTCCAATTTTGCTTGCTGCACTTACGGTAGATATCTAGTGAAAGGTTGCCTTGGAGGTTTATGTGAGCCCTCGACACTTGTCAATCCTGGTAACCGTGCAGTCAACAACGCGCCGTCAAATGCATGGGTATTTTGCGCCAACGGCCGTTTCCGTTCTAAGGATTCCGGTCTGTGAGGCAGCTCATCGAGGCAGCTCATCGCGGGGCGGAGCAGACTTCTGGTGCGCAGCTAGTCGAATCCAACCACGTCAACCACGTGTTCTATTGGGATGAATTGCCTCCTGATATGTTTGTCCTTGGCTCAGCCCTGGGCGCTTGAGAAGTCAATATGGTTGACGTGCCTGTAACATTTGTTAAAATCCGACCCGGGCAAGGTTCATGTGTGGGGTGTTGTTTACGGAGGCAAACAAGCAACATGGAAGTTGGTATCATACGACGTACATGTCATCATGCACAGAACTGAGTTGATGCAGCTCTCATTTCCTTGTCTAAATCGTAAACAACACCTGAACATTTCTGAGCCATGATCCTTACTCATACCATCTAAATCTAAATTAAAAAAAATATATATATATATAATCAAGTAGACCCACCTGGTTGCGGCCCAGCCCTTTCATGTCAGTGTAGCTATGCCATGCTAACTGCTATGCCCCTTGTCTTTTTTGCAGGACCTTGGCAGGAAACGGGCCTTTCATATTTCAGACAATTCGGAGGTGTCCGAGACTAATCTGCCTTACGTGAAAAGGCCCGTCTCAACCAGGTTCGAGGCACCTGGCATCAGATCACCTGAGAGAAGGGGCTCCAGGCATCGCTACTAGGAGCAAGGACGCTACTTGGGGCTCCTGGCCTTACTACTAGGAACAAGAAGCTATAGGGGCTCCTGGCATCGCTTGGATCAAATGACAAAACCACTTCGGATCAAGGCGTCCTGGCCAAGCCTTCCAAGGAGCTTCGGCGCGCGCGTCGGTTCGCCTAGGGGGTCAATGGGATCAATCGTTGGATGCCTTTGGATCCGTGGCTCGTGTGGCTGATGACATTTGGTCGCCGTGGTTGGTGTTGTGATGTGTTGTGCATGAGCGGACTGCCTAAACATGAAGATAAAGCATGGCCAAATGAGGCCTTTGTTCCAAAGGAGTTAGACTTGAAATGATGGCTAGGCTGCCGTCTTTGAGGCAGGACTTGCTGATGGAGTGGGAGTACTGGTGCAATGGACCACATGCACACCCTTTCCAGAAACCTCTGTGAAGCAAAGCTGGCATTTTGATATCTGACCCAAAGCTGACCTGACTATTAAAAACGTGTGAATTGATGTGAATTGTGTACCCACTTTACTTGTAATTATACAGTCTTGTGAAAAGCACGCACTACTACAGTAGTGCAACCCCTTGTTAGCCCATGAGGGGGTTTTCAAGAAACACCAAGGCCATGATGAGAATTCTGCCCCGAAAAAGCACGTGCCCTTCCACCTCGCAAACCGACCTCCACCTTCCACCTTCCTCCAGGTCGAAATGGAGTGTTTCCATTCCGGATGGGTCCGGCCTTGGAGTCTCTCCCGAGGCCTCTCCTCCCCGGACTCTCGCTCCACCTCAGGTCTCAGCTACATGCTGGCGGCCTTCGCCTTGCGCGCCATCCGCTCCGTCCAGGTCTTGGTGGAGATGGATGCCTTTCGGCGCCAGGGCCAGGGGGCCTGGACTCACTTTGCTGCACCTGTCTCTTTGCGAGGAGAGGGATGGTCCTGGTTCAACACCTTATTGGGGGGCAACCATGACCATCGACCATGACCAAAGGATACTAACAACATCCAACGACCCTCCATGGACTCCACTCCCCTAAGCTGTCTTTGAAACGTGGGAGTCGCTGGAGGCCTCGGTCGTCGCCCCTTGTTCGTGGTGCCCAGGCGCCAAGTATGCGCTGCACGTTTGTACGCGGATCGAAGTGGTGAAGCTGGTGGGAGGGGGGGAAATCCGGGGGATGGCATCGGTGAAAGTGAAGGGCGATCCAACATCTTCCTCATTGATTTTGGATGTCATCGATGGTGTGCCAATCATGGCCAAGGATGTCCAAGAATGCTGGATCAAGCTCCATCTACTGTCCACAGGGGGCGGTTGGGACGAGTTTCAACTATTTGACTTGGCCTTTGGCCTATAGGTTATCTCAGTCATCCAACAACAGCACTCGTCAGAGGGATGAGAGAGAATTCCCACGCGAATAGGGGCTTTGAAGCAGTACTGACGCTTCAGAATCGAAGTGTTTGTCACATTTTTTTTTTTTTTCTGAGCAACTCCACTTGCAAGCTACTAAGTTGCTAAGTGTGGTAGGGCGGAGGAAGATGGAGGGGGGCCTTCAGCAACAGGAGAACCTCACTGTCACTACCAGTGCAGAGCTACTTCAGGAGCTCTGAGTACCAATTTCACGGACTCCAAAGCAAACTGTCTGGAGATCTGGGCTCGTCTCTCGAGCCTCATGCCTCGCGGCAGCCTGCAGGTGCTCAAGATTTTCCTGCGTTTTCGCATGCCTTTCAACTTCTATGTTGACGAGGCGGGGTGTTCCAGAAATTGCGTGTCCTCCATGTGGTCAGACCAAGTCGATTTGAACCCCATCGACTTGACCTAACCACCTAGCAGAACTGCGGAAACTTGGTCCTACCTGAGAGATCCTGAAAGAAGGTAACGCAGGGCTCGGGCTCGATGAGGCTTCGGTCCCCAGCGGCGTTCCGCCAGGTGGCCATCGAAGACGCTGAGCCGCCCAAGCTTCTGTCCGCTTGACGGGAGTTTCCGAAGCATTTTCCCGGTTTTAAGACATTGCTCTCAAGGGCGCCTTCCCTGTGTTGGTACTTAATTCCAGACCCGTTTGTTTCAATTATGATGCTGCAGAGACAGTCACTGTTGATAGGAGTTCTGAGTCACGCCAGGGAGCAACAACGAAATGCCCTTCTTGGGCAGTCGCAGCCGCTGACTCAATGTCCACGTAGCATGCGCAGGCAAATAGGAAGGATCAGCTTAGGGCTTGGAAGTTCATCCTTTTTTACAGCCCAGCAGAGGGAGCTTTCCATTGATGGAATCCGGCCTCTTTGAACTTGCACGTATTCTTTGGGGCTTTTCCAGTACATAAGCATGGCAGGATCGTCGTCGTAGATGAAAAGCACCCAGAACTGGAGTTCTCTGTCTAGCATGCTCTTGCTGTGTTCTAGTTCCGGGAATTTATTTGCAATCGTTTACTGAATGTCGCTATTAGGTTGGAGGCCATCGCTAGTAGGTTGGAGGCCATCACTATTGGCCATCGCTAGTACGTTAAAGGCCATCACTATTGGCCATCGCTTGTAGGTTGGAGTCCATCACCATTAGTTTGGAGGCCATCGCTAGTAGGTTGGAGGCCATCACTATTAGGTTGGAGGCCATCGCTAGTGGGTTTGAGCCCATCACTGTTAAGTTGGAGACCATCGCTGGTAGGTTGGAGGAACCATCACTAATTATTGGGGTTGGAGGCTATCGCTAGTGGGTTTGAGCCCATCACTGTTAAGTTGGAGGCCATCGCTGGTAGGTTGGAGGAACCATCACTATTAGGTTGGAGGCCATCGCTAGTAGGTTGGAGGCCATCACTACTATGTTGGAGGCCATCGCTACTAGGTTGGAGGCCATCACTATTGGGTTGAAGGACATCGCTAGTAGCTTGGAGGCCATTACTATTAGGTTGGAGGCCATTGGAGGTCATCACGATTCGGTTGGAGGCCATCGCTAGCAGGTTGGAGGCCAGTACTATTAGGTTGAAGGCCATCTTAGTAGGTTGGAGTAGGTTGGAGGCCATTACTATTAGGTTGGAGGCCATCACTATTGGATTGGAGGCCATGGCTATTAGGTTCCTCAAAGTATTTTTTTATGTGTAACAAATAAACGCTTAGATTGGGATGTCACCCAAAGAGTTGATCACAGCTCTTGCAAGGAACGGGAATGCGGAGGCGCCTAGTTGGACGACCCAGCTGGATGGGACATGAAATGGCCCCAGCCGAATTCTTCTAAAAATCAAGCACTGTTCAAAGGTGTTGCTGTGCCGTGGTCCTTCTTTTTTTTATTGTTGTTGCATCGAAGAGAAAAGAAAGGCCTACTGTACATGCAAAGCTCTTGACAGAGAAGGACAATGCCACCCACAGAAATCTGATGGGTATGGACCGTACGACGCATCCCGGACATCAACTTCAACTTAATGCGCACATAGGATTAAGTAACCACCCCCTAATAATCAATCCCAGCTCGACCCCTCAATACAAAAACTAATTTAAAACCTAGATTTCCACCTTGGCATCCCCCTAATAATTCTTTTTCCTGGGCAGAAACCTCCCCCTATTAATCAATCCCAGCTGCCCCAGAAAAGTAAAACTATAGTTTCCATTGTATTTATAATTCTATATTATTTTCATAATCTCATCATCCATCATCAGGTCCTCATCTCATCATCCATCATCAGGTCATCACCTTTATTAGGGGGATGGTCCTCCAATACCTCCAACCTCAGACCTTGTTGACCTTGTTGACCTTGAAGGGGGGGCGGCCCGTTGATTAATCCTACGTTGCGATTAAAGGGTCCAAGTGTGCACGAACAATGCGAACACCAGCGTTTCACGAAGCATAGGTCAGACAAGTGTATAGAAGCGGTATGAAGCGGTTTTGGGCAGCTGTAAGGTGAGGCTGCGCCCAGCCCCGCTGCAGATCAGCCCTTTGTCGGAAGGTCGCTGCGGTATGCGCTCGGGCTGGCTGTGAGTTGCTGTTACAGTATGCTCTAGATTGGTCGATTCAGAGCCGAAGTAGTCCTTTCTCCCTACAATTGTCGATAGCATTTTCCATTCCTCCTGTCCCTGTTCGGAAGACCCGGCGGAGGCGTACAGGACGCTCATTGAAAGCGCTGGAGGGCAAGGCTCCTACCAGCGATGCGCCCAAGGCCCCGCGGCCACCACCGCCACGTCAGGGAGCCCAGTAGGCCAAGTCAAATGCAGCTTGGTGTCAAGATGAGTGATAAGTAGTGATGAAGTGGAGAGTCACTTGTAGAGTTGAAGTAGAGTGTTAGAGTTCGGGACAATTCTGATCAAGAGAGTTGCCATTGCACCAGAGGCACTTTCCCAAGAACCCCCGCAGAACTGGTCCGGGCAACGACGTTCGTTGCCCAGGTGTAGCAGATGGTCTTCGGCGTGCTTGGGCTTCCCAGTTTGAGATCAATTCCGTTGGATGTGCAAGTGAACCACCATTTGAGAACAGCGATTCGGGAGCCACGTTCGTTCTGGTGCAACGCGGTTCTGTTTGTCGCGGGATGTTGTGGGTGGTGTTTGACCATCAAGAGTTGTGGATGGTCGGTGATTGGGCTGGCCAGGTGTTTTCCACCCGATTTCAGCTACACCCACGAAGTTTAACATCATCAAAATAAAAACTAAAAAACTATGTGTGGTATGTTAGCGTGAGGTGCCCTATTTGTGAAACAGCCCTGAGAGCGGGCCTTGTTAGTATGGACACACTGGGGGAAACATGCTTGGAGAATTTCTTAGGTGTATGTTGCACATTGAGACTAACATGGATCAGAGTGGAAGGTTTTTGGTTCGATCATTTCCAGATACTGGATTCCCTGGATCTTGGCTACTTCTGACGTATTCCATGTTAGCATTTATTAGCATCTCAAGGGTGCTGCATTTCTAGTGCACCAATCTTCATTCCGGCCTTGTAGTGTTCTACGTTAGTCTCCGGAATCACCTTTTCCTCTCATACCGGTGCTTTCCATATTTTCCGGGACTTCTAACGAGCAGGTGGGCCATGTTACTGAGCACTGAGAGTTGGAGCCACGTTCCATGATAAACTTCGCCGGAGTAATAGATGCTAATAGTGGCTACTAGATTCTATGATATTATGAAATATTAGAATACTGATATTGTGATTATATGCGTCATGTGTGATGCACAATTACATTTTGCACGCATGCAATTGCAAACCATGCGGCCAGCCTGTCTGTGATGATTTGCTGCAGTGGCGGATTTGCCCGAGGATTGCACGCCACACACCTCGCAGATTGCAGTGGCAGAGGTGCGCTCTATACGCGGCGCCATTTTTGGAAAGGAAGAGAAGAGTCAAGCGAGGGATGGTTCGCCTCAGTTCATCATGGGACAGGGTTTGCAACCTGCTGGAAGTGCTCCTCTAAGTGGGTTTGGTGTTACCGTTGTTGCGAGGTTCGGTCACGGTCACAGGCCCTTTTGCCGGGGGGACACACTGGAAGCATCTGGAACCTGCAAGATTTGATTGGTACCCAAAGAAACACACCGCGTGACGCATTGTTCCTTTCCAATTCCCCTTTTGGCCTGTGTGGTGCTGAAATACCTTGGGCAACACAGATTTTGCTATTCTTTTTCGTGTTCTTCTAGAGAGGTTTTGGGCCACTCCGCATCTCTAGGCCCCCGAGTCCACACCTGCTGAGGTCTTGTACCATAGCCGCCCCCTCATCCATTTGGCCATGATTCGAAGCCGCGGACGGAAGTCCTGGGCTGCCACTCGGCCCAGAATGTGTAAGCCAAGCGTCCGAGTGCAGTAGAATGATGGTCTTAGACTCTCAGGCTGCGAGACATTCTTCAATCGCACATCCGCACAATGATCATGCAACATCTTTTGATCGTCTTGTATTTTCCGGAGTCAAGAAGCATCAGCCATCCAGTAGTGGAAAAAGCTTCAACAGAGCAAGGGATCACCTGGCCCCACGACCAAACCATGCAAAGCCAATCTGAGCTGACTCAGGCCTGGGTCGTGGCCCTGCTGTTGGAGCGTTTATCAACCGCAGGGGCCTCTGTTTGGCGAAATCCCCCAGTTCTGGCGAAGCCTGCAGGGCGACACCGTGACGCAGTGACCGGTGTTGGACAGGATCGGGACCATGGGATGATCAGGAAAGAGATCATTGTTGCATGCTACATCATGCTACAGAATCAAGTACAGGAATGAGAACCGCCTCCAAATAGTGGACGACCATCGATTTGATTTGAAGGACCTTTCGCAGATGTGACACTTTTTTGGGCCGAATGCAACTTATGACCCAATGGCTCCAAAAAGGATTGACAAAAAAGACATAACAGCTAGATTCTAGATAAGGACGCTACTAGGAGCAAAGGGCTTCGCTACTAGGAGCAAGAAGCTACTACTCGTAGGGGCCCCTGGCCTTACTACTAGGAGCAAGGGCGCTACGAACGGAGCAAAGAGCATCGCAACACTAAAGAACTATTTAAACCTTTGCTAGTAATTACAAGTGCCTCGCTACTAGGAACAAGTGCCTTACTAGTAGTAACAAGAAGCGACTAATTTTAATTCTAATTAAATTGTTATTTTTACTACTAGTAAGGCACTTGTTACTAGTAGCGTGGCACTTGTTACTAGTAGCTTCTTGTTACCACTTGTTACTTTGTTCACGTAGCTTCAGCTCTCACTCGGAACCCGTCGGATCGATGTGCATCCGCTGGCCTCACGCCAACGGCGCGGGAACGGCAGGGCCTCTTGGCCATGGAGCTTCGGAGTCTGCCCAACAGCCGCGCCAGCCTTCTGGAAGCTGCAGAGGCACCTGGGACAAGCCGGCTGCCGACCCGGCTTGCACAAGTAGAATGCCGACCGAGGGGCCCTGTGACGCCATGATGTAGGATGATGTAGGTTGGAAGGGTGTGTACTGGTACTGCCGGAATGGGATGTCAATGTGATGCCCATGAAGATGACCAGGGAATGTTCAATGACTGAACTGAAGCACGGACCAAAGAAGAGTCCACCACTAAACCCATCCCATGTCAGCCATCAGGGAGGTCAAGAAAGACTCGTTTGGAACGAGAATCTGACCGGTTATGGCCAGGTCAGCCGACGGCAAAACCAGATGTGGTGGGCTTTAGTGAGGCGAGTTGTGGGGATCGGGTGAAGATGCACCGCAACCCGTGGGATGACAAGACCTGTGAAAGCCCAATTGAATTTAGTTTAATTCTTGTTTCTAATAACTTCTTGTTACTACTAGTAAGGCCCTTGCTCCTAGTAGCGATGCACTCGTTCCTAGTAGCTTATTGTTTCCTTGCATCTCATTGCTTAGATTCATGCACGACTATGCGACTATGGTGTGCCGGGTGTCCCCAGCTTCAAGAATTCTCCTGTTCTGGTGAGTTTTCCGTATTGGCAGATGGAGGAGTTTCTCTATGTTTCTGTTGCCTTTATCGATTTGGACATAATAGTTAGTTGCTGCCTTTCTGCGAGCGGACAACGTCCAACAGTATGCATGCCGCACAAACCAACGGCGACCCTTTGGGAGCGGCTTTGTGGCCACCGTTTTGCCGCACGTGGGTCGAGCCCTTCGTTGGTTGCACCGCTTGGGAGGTCACCCGTTTTTGATCGGCTTTTGAAACGTCCTTGCGAGACCTTGGCCGGGTGCTGAGAGCTGGACGTTTCAATGCTTCGTCCACTGCATGCAAAAGCTCTCATTTGGAAAGCGTGATAAGAGACAAGAGGTGATAAGAGTCAGTTTGTAAGAGTGATGCTTTTGCGCAATAGACATACACTATAGTAGGACAAAAGGTGATCCAATTTGTGGGTTTGGCATTTCCTTGTTCGGATTCCCACTATTCAACTTAGTGGTGGTAGGGCTTGGGCGTGTTGCAGAAAGTGTAAGCAATGGCTTCTTCACCTTTAACGCATAGAAAAATCAAGCAGGGTTAAGATGGTTTAAGATCGTCTTGTGTCTTTGCCTCAGCACTTTCCCCTATAGCAGATCGCTTCTTTGGTGGGAAGACTCCAGCATTCGTGTCTGGGGCCTCTCGATGAGGACTGGGTCCTCAAGAAGATTCCGGCTGGATCCTCAGTCGACTCTCATCCGAGAGCAGCTCTGCTTCCGGGTTGAGATGACTCGCTTCGCCTTCGGCCGGATTTTTGTTCGCTGGTCCCATGGCTCAAGTTTTTGTCCATGGCTGCCTGCAGAAGACATGGCAGTGCAATCGGCTCATCTCTTGCAGCAAACATCAAACGACGCCCACAGCTTTTGGTGCATGTTTTTTTAGCATAAAGCCGGTGAGCGTTGGTACAAGGTCATCAATTTGTTCAACATCGTGGAACTGTTTCTCGTGCTTCAGCCGTTCTACTTCTCGACATCAGGCACGCTGGGAACCTGCAAAAACAATAAAGAACATGATTTTTCTCATGGAAGTGACTTTGTTTTCTAGAAGCTTTGCAAATTCCATCCTTGGAACATTGCGTCCATGTTGCTGAAATGGTATTTTGCGTTGACGGGGGGGTTGCCCCGGTTTGAGTACAAAGAAACGTGTCGACATGACATGAGTGGACGCGCTGTGGGTCGAAATTTGCGTATCCGAACTGATCAGTTCAGATACGCCAGTGTCGACTTTGTTGCATTTTGCGAAAGCAATAGTCCTCTCAGTTCACTCATCCAGCTGTGTTTTCAGCCAGCCATGATGTGTCTACAAAGGCCGTGCCAGCGGAATTTTGTCTTCCACGCATATGTGCAATGAACGAGGACACAACATTGTCCAGGCCGTGTAAATTCCGAAAGTGACCTACGTAGAAGTCAACGAACATAGAAATTCATGATAATCACCAAGCGACGACGACACTGCGCCTGGGGGAAGCACTTGAAGCGACACCACAGACGACCTTTGAGCCTACTGCTACAGCTGTATGTGATATTGGGGGATGCCCCGCAGATCATCCACTTGAAGGACCAGGAAGCATTTACGGGAGCTGTGGGCTCAGAACTGGCGGTAGTAGGGGGAGCAGCTTCTGTAAGCTGTGGCCGACGAAGGTTCTTAAGCCCCCAACCCCATCCCTCTCCTCCACAAAAAGAAACAGCGGCAGGCGCGAAGGAACATGCACAGGCGTTCGAAGGGCTGTTGGGGGCCCAAAGATGATCCGGGCAACCCCCTGGTCAAACCAACATGTTGCTGAAATATGACCCTGGCATAAGAACATAGTGACAACGCGAGACAATCTTTAAAGAATAGGACTTTGGTGTGTGTTCTTGAACTCTGGGTTCTGGGTACATCATTCACTAAATAAACCCAGAAGTGCTGCAACAATGTTTGCTCAAGCGAAGACAGGCTCCTGAAATTGGCGCTGAAGTAAGTTTCCAACAATGAAAACAATCAATTACTAAAAGACCTCATTCGAACATACTGAGAATTACTTTTTGGGCTTTGTCTACGAAAAAGACGTTGGCCTCTATGCGCATTGGCCAATCCTTGCTTAGGAATGTCTTTATCATTTTCAAATATTCGATATATGTATATATACAAATATTTGTATTTTTATTTAGACATTTTAGATTTAGAAGATATTTTTGTAATAAATATATATATATATATATATTTTTTATTTAAAGATTGTTTTTATGAAAATAACATTTTTTATTGAAATTGTAATAAGAAATCGTCCGAATAAATGGGCATTAATGATTAATTGTTATATTTTATCGTTATTATAATAATATTATTGGTTTAATAAATGCATTTTATATATTTTAGGATAAAATAACGATTATATATGGGATATAATTTTAAAGAATTGGATAATGGAAATTAAATATTCTTTAATAAAATTATTATATTTTAATTGATTAATATGGAAATAATTTATATTATTTTTTTAAAACATATTAATACATATATTTTAAAAACCTCTTTAATATTTATATGATTGAATGTTGAGGTGCAATTGATGAATATATTTGCTTATTTTATTATATATTATACAAATATTTAAATTTATAAAATATGGGTTTATAAATAATTCTTGGATGGAATAATTTCATTTATTGCAAATTTGTATAATATTATATGCTTTATTTTAAGGATATGAAATATATTATTTTTATTGAATATAATTGAATAAATATATCATAATTAGAAGGCAAAGAATTAAAATTCTAAATAGCTAAATTCTAATTTAATTTTATTTAAATGCTAATTTATTCCATTTTATTCGATTTTATATATTTAATTTCATATTTATTTATAAATTTTATTTTGATTTAAAAATTTATTATTGTATATTTTAATTTATTTGGAATTTAATATAAATTTAATTCTAATTTAATTTCAAACTAATTCTAATTTTATTGTTATATACGTCAGATTTAATTCTACTAATGTATTAATTTTTGAAATTTTATTTTCATTTAAATGAAATTTTCATTTATTTCTAGAGAAGTGGTGTTGCTTTGAATATGA